TTAGCTAATCAACCATATGTTGGTTGATTAGCTAAGTCGTTAGCTAATCAACGTTAGCTATCTAAAAATTATAACTGTTTTTCTTTTAAATGAAGAAATTGTTGGATTAAAATACAGCATGTGTAATAACTGTATGGGGACATTACGTAAACATGTTATTGATAAGAATGTCAGGCTAAAACAGGCTTTCATCTGCTGCTGCTCTGTTAGAGAAAGCTTTTAAGTGTGGCTTCATTCACAAGAGTGAGGTCATTAGTGACATCATTAGTGAGGTCATTACTGAGGTCAGGCCCTGATGCCAGCTCAAAGTGCATGGATATGTAGCTCCTCATTATTTCCAGGGGCATGGATTGGGACGTTCTTCCATTAAAAATAAATAAATGAAAAAATGTAACATGTGCTTTGCTCCTGTTACATTAACAAAGGAAAAAGTCCCTCAGCTGCTGTGGCAATAAGACCACGAGGGAGTCAGCATGTAATAGGTGTGATGTAGCTTTGGAGAGTGTTACTCTGTCAGCATCTGCCATAGATTTAATAACTAAATGAACACTGATATTTCCTCTTTTCACAAACGCATTCATTACCCAACCTGTGCAGACACACACACACACACACACACACATCTATTTATGTTGTGTTTGGTATTTTGCATATACTTTGGTTGTTGTTGTGTTGGCACAATGACAATAAAACATTCTGAATTTAATGTCACATCACTTTTGGTAAAAACACGAGTTGTTCTTGGTGAATCGGTTTCTGTATTTTCTTCTTTAAAGCTGAGCTTCGGAGGGATCCCGTTGCCGGGTAAGCCCGGCACCTTTCTGAGGAAGAACTTCAATGGTTGCATGGAAAACCTCTACTACAACGGGATCAATGTCATAGATCTGGCAAAGAGACGCAAGCCGCAGATACACAGCGTGGTGAGTTGTGTCGTTTCCCACAGTTACCGTGCTGCATGTGTTCTTAGTGAGTCTGTTGTGTATTAAGTGAACTCAGCTCATATATGTAAAAAATGATGTGTGACGATGTGTCACGCCCTGAAAAGTCTGGCTAACATGAAAACACAGACAGTAGTATTAGTACTTTTACAATCCTGCACATCTGTGATCGACGACTATGACGACTGATTGTTTCTTCCTGGTGTTTATAAAGACGAACCTGTGCAGTGATTGACTTGATGGATTCACTTTTAAAAGCTCACAAATGTGAAAAAGCCTCACAGTACAGATGATCTCTATTAGGGAGCGAAGCTGATGTAATGATATTTATAAAGATACAGGAAGAGTGCATCTGTAGGCGGGCAAAAGGAGGTGGGCGAGTGGAGAGAGTGAAACTGTAAAGGTCTAATTTGGTAATCATATATCGCAGTGCAGTAATTCTACAGTCAGGTTTAGCAGGAGTGTGAGGCAACAGCATGGAGCAGCATCTCCGTCAGGACGGACCGACAACGTTATGAAAACATATTGATTGCACATTTCTGTATGAGCTGGATGAAGTTTAGAGCATGTCCTCTGGAGGTGAAGATAGGGTAACAAATAAGACTGGAGAAAGGTGCAAGCTTTCACAGACCATCAGTGACCCACCAAACTGGTCACGCTGAATGAAGCAGCGTAACTTTCTGCAGCGCTTCATCTGAGAACAGCCCAAGACTCCAGTGGCAGATCTGCCAATTCTGGTGTTCAGTGGCACAGAGTAAAGAGCGCACAGGCTTCCCCTCCTACTTTGTACGAAGAGGTTCAAACTAAGTGCAAATAAAA